TTCAGAGAGAGGAACTGTCAGGAGACAGAAATAAGCAACTATGAGAGGTTCAAGAAAGGGGCTGTACTGTGCTGATGTCATTACGTGGACACTCTGTGGATGATCATGTCTGGGAATTCCTATGGCCCAACCTCTTTGTCCTAAGTTCTCCCTGGAGAGGATGGGTGTGTCTGGCCCTCTACAGTTATAACCCTGAGCAGAAGAGCCCGTCCTAAGCCTGCCCTCTGGCCATGACAATGGGCTATTTAACAGGACTAGAAAGCCTCATATCTTTCCATCCAAAGACATGGATCACTTTGTCTGTCTATCCTTCTCTGTCAGGAACCCCTCACTCTCTATTCAGGTTAGTTCAACAGTATTTATTGAACCTTTATTGTCTTCCAGGCATGGGGCTGAGCATGGGAAATACAGATGGACAAAAACACAGTATTTGCCCTCAAAATGTTTCCAGACTAGAGAGCAGCCAAACTCCAAAAGTTTGAGTGGCTCAAACAATTAACTAGGAATAAATGGGGTGGCTAGAGGACTAGGAGTTTCCACTAGCTTGCAGGAGACCATGATGCATGGAAGGGGGCAAAGTGTTAGGAAGACTAGGCAGCCTCCAGGGGTGACCTCAAGATGGTGGAGAGGAAGTGGGAAGCTCAGGGTCCTATTCCAGGTTAGATGCCAGATGAAAACCTCTTCACTGTCATGACTCAGTCAGATTTTGGGTACAATCAGAGGGCCGGGGCCAGGATTAACATAAAGTGCACTCTTACCCAGGAGCCTACTAACGCACTTTGCATCTTTCCAAGAAGGGAGCAGAAAAGGCAAACTTCCCTCTTGTCTTTTTGGAGGATGTCTTCAGGAAAGAGAATCTCTGGAGGTCAATTCTTTTGTTGCTTAGTGACAAGGGAAGGTTGTGACTGCATAATGCTGCTGCTGTTTGTTGAGGTAGCACATGGCCTGTTGCCCTTTGTCCTTGCTGCCCGAGTTCTTCTCTTTGAGAAAAACCTGCCCCTTGGCATTAACAGCCTGAAAGAGCCCTTATGTATAGAAACACACAGGGCTCCATGGTAGAGTCTAATGGATTCGCAGCCAATGAAATATTCAAAGAACATTTTAAATGCGGGCAAATCCTGCATTGAAAAACCTATGCATTCGTATTGCCAGGAATATAAATTTAGAAAGCATTCCATGGAGTCAGAAGAAATGTTAAAGAGTTTGGTGGCTTTTAGGATAAAATTACTGCTTCAGAATAGGCTTTGCCAATTTATCTCTCAGGAGTTTGTGGTGACTGGGAATGCTAATCATGACAGGTGAATGTTTCAAGAGCCGAGTAAAGGAATAGAGTATGACAGAAGAACAGAGAAGGAACTTGCAAAGATTTGACATTATGGTTCCATTCTGAGCTACCCTTGGACAAATTATTAACTGAATTCTCTCTTATTTATAAAAGAGGGACTTAAACAGTTCACCCCCTTTAGTAACCATGGTGGCTCATGCCTGTAATCCCAGCACTTTGGGAGGCTGAGATGGGCGAATTGCTTGAGCCCAGGAGTTAAAGATCAGCCTGGGCAACATGGTGAAATCCCATCTCTACAAAAAAATACAAAAATTAGCCAGACGTGGTGATGCGCACCTGTGGTCTCAACTATTCAGGAGGCTGAGGTGGGAGGATTGCTTGACCCCAGGAGGGCGAGGCAGCAGTGAGCCATGATTGTGCTACTGCATTCCAGCCTGAGAGACAGAATGAGACCCTGTCTCAAATAAATAAATAAATAATACAAATATACAAAACAATGCTATGATTTATGGATACAAACATATGAACTGGCTGGGTGTGGTGGGTCACTCCTGTAATCCTAGCACTTGGGGAGGCCAAGGCGGGCAGGTTGCTTGAGTCCAGGAGTTCAAGACCAGCCTGGTCGATATGAGACCCTGTCTCTATTTTTACATAAATAATTTTTAAAATATAATAATTTTTTTTAAAAAATTTATTTATTATTATTAAACTTCAAGTTGTAGGGTACATGTGCACAACGTGCAGGTTTGCTACATATGTATACTTGTGCCATGTTGGTGTGCTGCACCCATCATAAAATATAATAATTAAAAATAAAAAGCATGGGCTGGCTGCAGTGGCTCACGCCGGTAATCCCAGCACTTTCGGAGGCCAAAGCGGGCAGATAACCTGAGGTCAGGAGTTCAAGACCAGTCTGGCCAAGATGGTGAAACCCCGTCTCTACTAAAGATACAAAAAAAATTAGCTGGGCATGGTGGCATGCGCCTGTAATCCCAGCACTTTGGGAAACCAAGGCGGGTGAATCACAAGGTCAGGAGATCGAGACCATCCTGGGTAACACGGTGAAACCCCATCTCTACTAAAAATAGAAAAATTAGCTAGACGTGGTGGTGCACACCTGTAGTTCCAGCTACTCGGGAGGCTGAGGCAGGAGAATCACTTGAACCCGGAAGGCGGAGGTTGCAGTGAGCCGAGATCATGCCATTCCACTCCAGCCTAAGTGACAGAGCAAGACTCCATTTTCAAAAAAAAAAAAAAAAAAAAGCATGCATAGGAATGATGGGAAACAAATATAGGATATAAATCGACTGGTGGCCGAGTGCAGTGGTTCACACCTGTAATCCCAGCACTTTGAGAGGCCAAGGCGGGCGGATAACAAGGTCAGGAGATCAAGACCATCCTGGCTAACACGGTAAAACCCCGTTTCTGCTAAAAATACAAAAAGAAATTAGCTGGGTGTGGTGGCAGGCACTTGTAGTCCCAGCTCCTCAGGAGGCTAAGGCAGGAGAATGGCAGGAAAAGAAAAGGAATCACCTGGGGAGGGGAGCAAGGGGAACGGTATCAGGGAGGACAGAATGGAGCTTGAACTCTATCTGTAAAGCTTTTACTTTTTTTTTTTTTTTTGAGACAGAGTCTCGCTCTGTCGCCCAGGCTGGAGTGCAGTGGCACAGTCTCGGCTCACTGCACTCCACCTGCCAGGTTCACGCCATTCTCCTGCCTCAGCCTCCGGAGCAGCTGGGACTACAGGCGCCCGCCACCATGCCTGGCTAATTTTGGTATTTTTAGTAGAGATGGGGTTTCACCGTGTTAGCCAGGACGGTCTCAATCTCCTGACCTTGTGATTCACCCGCCTCGGTCTCCCAAAGTGCTGGGATTATAGGCGTGAGCTACCGTGCCGGGCCTTTTTTTTTTTTTTTTTTTTTTTTTTTGAGACAGAATCTCACTCTGTCATCCAGGCTGGAGAGCAATGGCGCGATCTAGGCTCACTGCAACCTCTGCCTCCTCCTGGGTTCAAGCCATTCTCCTGTCTCAGCCTCCCAAGTAGCTGGGACTACAGGTGTCCACCACCACACCCGGCTTTTTTTTTTTTTTTTGAGGTGAAGTCTTGCTCTGTCGCCCAGGCTGGAGTGCAATGGCATGATCTCTGCTCACTGCAACCTCCGCCTCCTGGGTTCAAGTGATTCTCGTACCTCAGCCTCCCAAGTAGCTGGGATTACAGCCGTGCTGCTAATGCTTCGTATTCTTTTTTTTTTTTTTTTTTTTTTTGAGATGGAGTCTCGCTCTGTCGCCCGGGCTGGAGTGCGGTGGCGAGATCTCGGCTCACTGCAACCTCCGCGTCCCGGGTTCAAGCGATCCTCCTGGGGTTCACGCCATTCTCCTGCCTCAGCCTCCTGAGTTGCTGGGACTACAGGCGCCCACCACCATGCCCGGCTAATTTTTTGTATTTTCAGTGGAGACGGGATTTCACCGTGTTAGCCAGGATGGTCTCCATCTCTCTCCTGACCTCATGATCCGCCCGCCTCGGCCTCCCAGAGTGCTGGGATTACAGGCGTGAGCCACTGCCCCTGGCCACGTTTTAACTTTTTTTTTTTTTTTGAGAGGGAGTCTTGCTGTGTTACCCAGGCTGGAGTGCAGTGGCGCGATCTCGGCTCACTGCAACCTCAGCCTCCCAGGTTCAAACGATGCTGTACTAGCGTCTTCAAGGAGAGCTTTAGGGAGATGGGATTTCCATCCTCTGGGAATTTAATACAGGTAGCATGGAGATAAATACAGCCTCGGCAACGAGAGTGAAACTTCGTCTCAAAAAAAAAAAAAAAAGAAGAAGAAGAAGAAGAAGAAGATAGTAAATAACGTCCATCACTCCAAGTTTCCTTCTGCCTAGTCGCAATCTTTCCTTATGGCACTCATTTGCCTCAGGCAATGCCACACCTCTGCTTTCTGTCACTATAGATTAATTTGCATTTTCTCGAATTTTATGTAAATGGGATCATACAGTATGTGTTCTTTTGTGTTTGGCCTTCACTCAACATAATTATTTTGAAATTTATTCATGTTGTTGTATCCATTGTTCATTCCTTTTTATTGCTTAGTAGTTTTCCATTGTATGGATATGCCAAATCTCTCCTCCTGATTTTTTGAATCCATACACAAATCAGGTTTTTATTGTCACTACATCACTGTAACTGCTCCTACCAAAGTCACCCAACGTTAATTCTAACCAGTCTTTCCTGAACACATCCGCAGCATTTGTCATAGCTGATCTCTGCCTCGTCTTTGAAGCAGTTCCACGTGCCTTCCAGAATGCCTCATTCTCATGGTATTCTTTCCCCGTCTCCCGACCAGGCTTGCTCCAGCTCCTTGGCTGCTTTTCCCTCATCTCCAAAAGCCTCTAAACTGGTGTGTCCTGGGGCTCAATCCAATCTCTTTTCCATTTATACTCCATTGGTGATCGCATCCTGTTTTTTGAGACAGGGTCTCATTCTGTCGCCCAGGCTGGAGTGTAGTGGCGCGATCTCGGCTCACTGCAGCCTCTACCTCCCGGGTTCAAGCGATCCTCCCGCTTCAGCCTCTGAGTAGCTGGGACCATAGGCACGTGTCACCACGCCGGACTAATTTTTTGTAGAGCTGGGGTTTCGCCATGCTGCCCAGACTGGTCTCAAGCATGTTTTTTGCTTTCAAAGTCATCTAATAAGCACCAGAGGCAGAGTTACATAGATCCTTCCTGCCTACCCACACTGTCCCTGCCCTCAGGCCACTCCAGCATCCGGCGGGCCAGGAACCTCAGACGATTTCTTGCCTCTTTTCTCTCTCCTCCAGGGGCCCTGTTTGATGTCCCCATCTGCCCACAGCGCCTCTCGTCCCAGCTGCTCCTCCTGTCCTGCCCTTGCTCAGACCACCCGAGCATCATCCGTGCTCTGGCCCCTGGCCACCAGGTCCACCCCACATGCTGTCCTCACAGGTGGCGCCTCGCCATTCTTGGGGACCAGGGCCTCCTTGTTCTGGTCATACACAATGGGGTGTGATCAGCGACAAGTGAGCAGGTCTGCACGCCAGATGGGCCGAGAAAAAACCAGATGGGCCGAGGGTGGCCATTCCGGTGTCAGTGTGGGGGTGTGAGGGAACGTTGCATGGGGTGCATGTGGGCTGGGTGTGGCGTGCGGCGGTGTGGCACCAGGCAGGCGGCTTGGCGGGGCCCACGATCAGCGCATTTCAGACCATTAGGATGGTTAAAACCGTTAACTGCCTGTCGCGGCGAGGGCGGGGCCCTGGGGAAGGGACGGAATCCCAGTTGGTCGAGACACCAGGGGCGGGGCCGCGCGTGCTGCCATTAGGACCGTTAAAACCGTTAGCTGCCTGTCGTGGCGGGGCGGGGCCCTGGGACGGGACGGAATCCCTATTGGTCAGAAGAGGACCTGGGGGCGGGGCCGCGCGTGCTGTGGCAGCTGCAGCTGGACGCGGCCACCTCGAAGCCACGTCAGGGCAGCCCCAGGTCGGGCGCGCGCCAGCAGCAAGAGGTGGGGACAGGAGGGGTTTGGGTAGGGTGGGCTGGGGGAAGTCGGGGGGAGGGGCTGAGAAGCCGGATGGGGCCGTCGGTCTGGGTTCAGGATTCCAGGGGTCCTCCCTGGCTTTCCCGGGACGTTGGTCTTATAGTCCCTCCCCTGCCGTTTCTTTCCGAATGGCGCTGGCAGCTCCGGCTCTTGAAGGAGGCTTCACTTCCGCGCTTATCTTTGGAGAGCAGTTTTCATTCGATTCGCAGGGTTCTGCGACCTCCTCTCCAGATCCCCGCCTGGAGTTGAGGAGTGAGACCGCGTCGGCCCGGGGGAGGGGGGGCCAGAGTGAGCGGAAACCCAGAGAAGCCCGCTGGGATTTCTCTTGATTATGAGTAGGGAAAACCCTGTGAGGCCTCTGGAAAGACGTGAGAAGGATTTGGTCTAGGAGCTCAGAGCGTGTCTCCAGGTAAAGAAGAGGCGGAAAATTAGAGAGGATTGCCGGCCATTGGTGTTTGATGCGGGCCTGGCGGGGGCCACAGGGGGCCTGACGTCTGAGTAAGAGACCTGCTTTATTCTGCTAGAACTTTCTGCAGTGGAGGAATGGGAGGGGCACCTGGAGGGCCTCATATCGCAGCCTCAAGATTCTTGCAGTAGGCCGTCCGCGAAGGCTCACGCCACGCTTTGGGAGGCTGAGGCAGGTGGATCTCCTGAGGTCAGGAGCTCGAGACCAGCCTGGCCAACATGGCGAAACCCCGTCTCTACCAAAAATAACAAAAATTAGCGGGGCGTGGTGGCGCATGCCTGTAATCCCAGCTACTTGGGAGGCTGAGGCAGGAGAATCACTAGAACTCGGGAGGCGGAGGTGGCAGTGAGCTGAGACCGCGCTACTGCACTCCAGCCTGGGCGACAGAGCAAGACTCAGTCTCAAAAAAAAAAAAAAAAAAAGAAAAGAAAAGAAAAGAAAAGAAAAGATTCTCGCCTTAGAGTTGACGACGGTGGTCAGATGGGGTAGTCCATGCCACTGGGGGTGATTCTCTCCCCCTCACGTGTTCCTCCCTTGTTACCCACCCTGCCAGGGCCCTTCCCTTGTACGCAGTTCCATTCCTTCTATGCACTCAACTTTTTCTCCCCTTTTATGCTTCCTTTAATAGGAAAGTGAGTGAGAGGTGAAAGTTTTTAATCTGTGCATTTCAATTTTCATTTACCTTGGAATGACCGGTGTTCCACCTTAGAATGAATACCTCTTACTAGTATCTTCAAAGAGAGCTTTAGGGAGATGGGATTTCCATCCTCTGGGAATTTAAAAGCCTATAGAGGTAGCGTGGAGATAAATACATGCACAAAAGAACCTGAGTTTGAGTACATTAAGCCCCAGCTGGTTCTTAGACATATTGAGAATAAGGGTGTACTTACCATATTTGTTGTTGTTTTTTGTTTTTTTTTTTTGAGACGGAGTCTCGCTTTGTTGCCCAGCCTAGAATGCAGCGGCACGATCTCCGCTCACTGCAAGCTCCACCTCCCAGGTTCTCGCCATTCTCCTGCCTCAGCCTCCCGAGTAGCTGGGATCACAAGGGCATGCATGCCACCACGCCCAGCTAATTTTTTGTATTTTTAGTAGAAACGAGGCTTCACTGTGTTACCCAAGATGGTCTTGATCTCCTGACTTCATGATCCGCCTGCCTCAGCCTCCCTAAGTGCTGGGATTACAGGCTTCAGTCACTGCACCCGGCGGCTTACTACAATTTAAAAAAATTGGACCAGATTGGCCGGGCGTGGTGGTTCACATCTGTAATCCCAGCACTTTGGGAGGCCAAGGCGGGTGGATCATCTGAGGTCAGAAGTTCAAGACCAGCCTGCCCAACATGGTAAAACCCTGTCTCTACTAAAAATACAAAAATTAGCCAGGTGTGGTAGCACACACCTGTAATCCCAGCTACTTGGTGGGCTGAGGCAGGAGAATCACTTGAACCTGGCAGATGGAGGTTGCAGTGAGCTGAGATCATGTCACTCCACTCTAGGCTGGTCGACAAAGCGAGACTCCGTCTCAAAATTGGGCCGGGTGTGGTGGCTTATGCCTGTAAATCCCAGCACTTTGGGAGGTCGAGGCGAGTGAATCACTTGAGCTCAGGAGTGTGAGACCTGCCTGAGCAATATGGTAAAACTCTGTCTTTACCAAAAATACGAAAAATTAGCCAGGTATGATGGCGTGTGCCTGTGTCCAAGCTACTCAGGACTGAGGTGGGAAGATTGCTTGAGCCTGGTAGGTGGAGGTTGTGGTGAGCCAAGATCGCAACACTGCACTCCAACCTGGTTAATAGAGTGAAGCCCCATCTCAAAAGGAAAGAAAATCATATATTTTAAATTTGTGACTACTTGGCATATTTTGCTCCACAAAATCTAGTTGTAATTTAGTTCCCAAGTTTTTAACTCATTAAACAATAAATGTTTTGTGAGCTATTATGTTCCAGAATGATTTTCAGCTTCTTTTTTTTTTTTTTTGAGACGGAGTCTCGCTCTGTCACCCAGGCTGGAGTGCAGTGGCGGGATCTCAGCTCACTGCAAGCTCCGCCTCCCGGGTTTACGCCATTCTCCTGCCTCAGCCTCCCGAGTAGCTGGGACTACAGGCGCCCACCACCTCGCCCGGCTAGTTTTTTGTATTTTTTAGTAGAGACGGGGTTTCACCGGGTTAGCCAGGATGGTCTCGATCTCCTGACCTCGTGATCCGCCCGACTCGGCCTCCCAAAGTGCTGGGATTACAGGCTTGAGCCACCGCGCCCGGCCGATTTTCAGGTTCTAGGGCTATAGTAGTAAATAAAGCAAAAATTCTTGTCCTCAGAAGAGCTTAATATTACATTCTAGTAAACATGGATATCTGTAGAGACAGAAAACACAAGTTAACAGAATATATAGTGTATTAGAATGATGATGTGTTGCAGAGAAAAAAGCACAGGAGAGCCATAGTGATTGGCAAGAGGTTACTTTTTCTTAATTTTTTTTTTTGAGATGAGTCTCGCTCTGTCGCCCAGGCTGGAGTGCAGTGGTGCAATCTCCGCTCACGGCAAGCCCCGCCTCCTGGGTTCGTGCCATTCTCCTGCCTCAGCCTCCCAAGTAGCTGGGACCACAGGCGCCCCACCACTATGCCCAGCTAATTTTGTGTGTGTGTGTGTGTGTGTGTGTGTGTATATTTTTAGTAGAGATGGGGTTTCACCGTGTTAGTCAGGATGGTCTCAATCTCCTGACCTTGTGATCCACCCACATAAGCTTCCCAAAGTGCTGGGATTACAGGCGTGAGCCACCACGCCCAGCCAGTTATTTTTATTTTTATTTTTTTCAGACAGGGTCTCGCTCTCTCACCCAGGCTAGAGTGCAATGGCACAGTCTCGGCCCACTGCAACCTCCGCCTCCTGGGTTCAAGCGATTCTCCTGCCTCAGCCTCCCGAGTAGCTGGAACTACAGGTGTGCGCCACCACGTCCAGCTAATTTTTTTTTTTTTTTTTTTTTTTTAGTAGAGATGGGATTTCACCATGTTGCCCAGGTGAGTCTCGAACTCCGGAGCTCAGACAGTCATCCTGCCTCGCCCTTGCAAAGTGCTAGAATTACAGGTGTGAGCCACCATGCCTGGTCTAGAGGTTATAAGTTTGAATAAGTAATTTGAAGGAGATGGAGTTGTCTGTCATGCTGATATCTGAGGGAGCAGTGCACCAAAATGAGGGTGCAGCATGCAAAAGTGACATGAAACTGCTTGTGCCCAGCAAGGGAGAACAACAGTGAGGAGCCCCGTAAGAGGCATGCAACAGGGTATAGATGGGAATGGTGGAGGGCTATGGGGAGATTACAGATGCCCTTGTAGATAATCATAGAGAATTCTGGCTTTTATTTTGAGTAGGGTAAGAGCAGTGGAGGATTCGAGTAGAGGGAGGATGTAATCTGACTTAGGGTTACTGTAATTCTGACTGCTTTGTAGGGAAGAGACTGATGTGGGACAAGGGTGAAATCAGGGAGAGTGGTTAGGAGGCCATTGCAATAATCCAGGCTGGTGGCAGTGGAGTAGGGTTGCCACATTTAGCAAATAAAAATACAGGACACCCAGTTAAATTTGAATTTCAGGTAAACAATATTTTTTGTATGTCTCATATAACATTGGGAAATTCAAATTTTACTTGGTATTCTATTTTATCTGGCAACCCTCCAGTTGCCAGAAAGGAGGGAGTGGGGAGTGGTCAAATTCTAGATATATTTTGAAGGAATTAGTTTAGTATTTGCTGACAGACTGGATGTGAGACTAAGAAAAGGGAATTGAGGAGGACTTACATTTTGGCCTAAGCACCTGGAAGATGAAATCATCCTTAAATAAAACAGGAAGACCACAGGAGGAGAGTGTTTAGGGGAAATTATGAGGATCTTGGCTTTGAACATTGTCTTAGTCCATTTTGTGTTGCTATAACTGAATACCACAGCTAGGTGACTTAAATAAATTTATTTCTCACAGTTTTTGAGGCTGGAAAGTTCAATATCAAGGTACCAGTATCTGGAGCTCACTTTTATAGCAACCCACTCTAGTGATAATGAATTCACTTCTGAATGCACTCCAGTTTACCCACTTACATTAATCTATTCATGAGGCTGGAGTACTCATGGCCTAATCACTTCTTAACAATGCTACCTCTTAAATACTATCACAATGGTAATTAAATTTCAACATAAGTTTTTGGAGGGGACATTTAAACCATAGCATTCAGCTATGTGGATTCAGCATGTGAAAGCTGCATATACAGACGCCCAGTTTTTCATAGATGCTAGTTCTGCAGGGCTGGCTTCTGGACTTGAGTGTGTGTAGATTTTGGTATATTGTTGGGATCGGGCTGTGTCCTGGAACCAATCCCCAACATATGCAGAGGGACAACTGTAGTTCCCTTAACTGAGGTTAATGATTACTAGTTGTGTGAAGGGATCACCCCCAAATTTTATACTTTCCTTCTGAAAGAATTTTGGTGATGAGGAGCTATAATCTGAAAGGGGCTTTTTCTGAGAGTTTATGGAGGAAAGTAACACAGATGAAATTATGCTTTTTGGGGGAAGATGTTACCAGAAAGGGTCCCAATCCAGACTCCAAGAAAGGGTTCTTGGATCTCTCCCAAGAAAATTTGGAGCAAGTCCACAGAGTAGAGTGAAAGCAAGTTTATCAAGAAAGTCAAGAACTGGGCTGGGCGCGGTGGCTCACGCCTGTAATCCCAGCACTTTGGGAGGCCAGCGGTGGCTCACGCCTGTAATCCCAGCACTTTGGGAGGCCAAGGTAGGCAGATCACAAGGTCAGGAGTTGAAGACCAGCCTGGCCAATATGGTGAAACCCTGTCTCTACTAAAAAAAAATACAAAATATTAGCCAGGCGTGGTGGCAGGTGCCTGTAGTCCCAGTTACTCAGGAGGCTGAGGCAGAAGAATCACTTGAACCCGGAAAACAGAGGTTGCAGTGAGCTGAGATCGCGCCATTGCACGCCAGCTTGCGTGACACAGCGAGACTCCGTCTCAAAAAAATAAAGTAAATAAAATAAAAAGAACTAAAGGAATGGCTACTCCATACAGCAGCCCCAAAAGCTGCTGGTTGGCTATTTTTATGGTTATTTCTTGATCATATGCTAAACGAGGGATGGATTATTCATCAAGTTTCTGGGAAAGGGGTGGAGATTTCCAAGAACAGAGTTCCTCTTCCTTTTAGACCATATAGGGTAACTTCTGGATGTTGCCATGACATTTGTAAACTGTCATAGTGCTGGCTGGAGTGTCTTTTAGCATGCTAATGCGTTATAATTAGCTATGACATGTGGTGAGGACGACCAGAGGTCACTTTTTTTTTTTTTTTTTTGGATATTCTGCCACTCAGGCTGGAGTGCAGTGGTGCGATCTCTGCTCACTACAACCTCGCCTCCTGGTTTCAAGAGATTCTCCCACCTCAGCCTCCTGAGTAGCTGAGATTACAGGCGCGTGCCAACATGCCCGGCTAATTTTTGTATATCTTTAATAGAGATGGGGTTCCGCCATGTTGACCAGGCTGGTCTTGAATTGCTGATCTCGAGTGCTGGGATTACAGGCATAAACCCCACTATGCCTGGCCGTAATTTTTTTTTCTTTGAGACAGAGTTTGCTCTGTTACAAAGGCTGGAGTGTGGAGTACAGTAGCACAATCTCTGCTCATTGCAACCTCCACCTCCTGGTTCAAGGTTTTCTCCTGCCTCAGCCTCCTGAGTAGCTGGGACTACAGGCACGTGCGACCACATCCGGCTAATCTATCTTTCTTTCTTTTCTTTCTTTCTTTTCTTTCTTTCTTTTCTTTCTTTCTCTCTCTCTTTCTTTCTCCCTTTCTCCTTCTTTCCTTCCTCTTTCTTTCCTTTCTTTCTCTCTCTTTTTCCTTCCTTTTCTCCTTTCCTTTCCCTTCCTTCCTTCCTCCCTCCCTCCCTCCCTCTCCGCCTCCTTTCCTTCCTTCCTTTCCTTCCTTTCCTTCCTTCCCTTCCTTCCCTTCCTTCCTTCCATGGAGTCTCGCTCTGTCGCCCAGGCTGGAGTGCAGTGGTGCGATCTTGGCTCACTGCAAGCTCTACCTCCCAGGTTCCCACCATTCTCCTGCCTCGGCCTCCCAAGTAGCTGGGACCACAGGCGCCCACCACCATGCCCGGCTAATTTTCTGTATTTTTAGTAGAGACGGGGTTTCACCATGTTAGTCAGGATGGTCTAGATCTCCTGACCTCTTGATCCACCCGTCTCGGCCCCCCAAAGTGCTGGGATTATAGGCGTGAGCCTCCGGCGCCTGGCCTCATTTTTGTATTTTTAATAGAGACGGGGTTTCACCATGTTGGCCAGGCTGGTTTCGAACTCCTGACTTCAAGTGATCCACCCACCTTGGCCTCCCAAAGTGCTGGGATTACAGGTATGACCACTGCGCCGGGCCCAGAGGTCACTTTAATTGCCATCTTGCATTTGTCAAATTTTGGCCAACTACTTTACTGCATTCTTTGTGATGAGCAGGGCCTTTGTGACCTGTATCGTTGCTGACCTGTCTCATCCTGTGACTAAGAATGACTAACCTCCTGGGAATGCAGCTCAGGTCCCAGCTTCATTTTCCCTAGCTCTTATTCAAGATAGGGTTGCTCTGGTTCAAATGCCTCTGACACGCTGGGTGCAGTGGCTCACACCTGTCATCTCAGTACTTTGGGAGGCCAAGGTGGGTGGATCACCTGAGGTCAGGAGTTCAAGACCAGCCTGACCAACATGGTGAAACCCCATCTCTACTAAAACTACAAAAATTAGCCAGGTGTGCTGGCAGATGCCTGTAATCCCAACTACTCGGGAGGCTGAGGCAGGAGAATCACTTGAATCCAGGAGGCAAAGGTTTCAGTGAGCCGAGATTGTGCCATTGCACTCCACCTTGGGTGACAGAGCAAGACTCTGTCTCAAAAAAAGAAAAAAAAATGCCTCTGACAAAAAATGTGTGGAATACAGGTGGACAGATGAAAGGGGGTAGGAAAAGCAAAGCTCATCTGCTTTAGTTTGTTACTTGATGACTGGTTATGTTATTACCTTGTTTCATGTTGAAACTAGATCATGCATCAGCCAGCCCTGTGTTCTCAGAGCATTTTTTCTTTCTGTTGAGGTTTTTCTTTTCTTTTCTTTTCTTTCTTTTTTTTTTAGGGACAGAGTCTTGCTTTGTTGCCTGGACTGGAGTGAAGTTTTGGGATCATAGTTTACTGAAGCCTTGAACTCCTGGGCTCAAGTGATCCTGCCGCCTCAGCCTCCTGAGTAGCTGAGACTACAGGTGTATGTCACCATGTCTAGCTTGTTTATTTAAATTTATTTAAATTATTTTCTGGCTGGGTGCGGTGGCTCACGCCTAGAATTCCAGCACTTTGGGAGGATCACGAGGTCAGGAGATCGAGACCATCCTGGCTAACACGGTGAAACCCTGTCTCTACTAAAAATACAAAAACAAAATTTAGCCGGGTGTGGTGGCAGGCGCCTGTAAGTCCCAGCTACTCGGTAGGCTGAGGCAGGAGAATGGCGTGAACCTGGGAGGTGGAGCTTACAGTGAGCTGAGATCGTACCACTGCACTCCAGTCTGGGCAACAGAGCGAGACTTTGTCTCAAAAAAAAAAAAAAAAAAAAAAAAAATTAAAAAAAAATTTTTTGACATAGTTTGAGAGATAATTTTTTGAGATTTTTTTTTTCTCCGTCACCCAAGCTAGAGTACAGTAGCACAGTCTTAGCTCACTACAGCCTTGACCTCCTGGGCTCAAGTGATCCTCCCATCTCAGCCTCCCAAGTAGGTGGGACTATAGGCTTGTGCCACCACACCCTGCTAATTTTTTTTTTTTTTTTTTTTTTTTGAGGTGGAGTCTCACTCGATTGCCCAGGCTGGAGTGCAGTGGCGCAATCTCGGCTCACTGCAACCTCTGCCTCCCGGGTTCAAGCGATTCTCCTGCCTCAGCGGATCACTTGAAGCCAGGAGTTTGAGACCAGCCTGGCCAACATAGCAAAACCCCATCTCTACTAAAAATACAAAAAATTAGCTGGGCATGGTGGCACACACCTGTAATCCCTGTAATCCAGCTACTCGGGAGGCTGAGGCACAAGAATCACTTGAACTCAGAGGCAGGGGTAGCGGTGAGCCGAGATTGCACCATTGCAATCTGGGTGACAGAGCCTGGGTGACAGAGCATAACTCTGTCTTAAAAAAAAAAAAAAAAAATTAATGGAACATATACACACAAACACACAATTTTTTTTTTTTTTTTTTTTTTTTTTGAGACGGAGTCTCGCTTTGTCTCCCGGGCTGGAGTGCAGTGGCCGGATCTCAGCTCACTGCAAGCTCCGCCTTCCAGGTTTACGCCATTCTCCTGCCTCAGCCTCCCGAGTAGCTGGGACTACAGGCGCCCACCACCTCGCCCGGCTAGTTTTTTGTATTTTTTTTTTTTAGTAGAGACGGAGTTTCACCGTGTTAGCCAGGATGGTCTCGATCTCCTGACTTCGTGATCCGCCCATCTCGGCCTCCCAAAGTGCTGGGATTACAGGCTTGAGCCACCGCGCCCGGCCTTTTTTTTTTTTTTTTTGAGAGGGAGTCTTGCTCTGTCGCCCAGGCTGGAGTACAGTGGCGCAATCTTGGCTCACTGCAAGCTCTGCCTCCTGGGTTCATGCCATTCTACTGCCTCAGCCTCCTGAGTAGCTGGGACTGCAGGTGCCCACCAGCATGCCTGGCTAATTTTTTTGTAGTTTTAGTAGAGATGGGGTTTCACCGTGTTACCCAGGATAATCTCCTGACTTCGTGATCCACCTGCCTTGGCCTCCCAAAGTGCTGGGATTACAGGCGTGTGCCACTGCGCCCGGCCACACACACACACAATTTTGTATGCTACTTAAAAAGTGTGCCTGGTCAACATGGTGAAACCCTGTCTCTACAAAAAAAAAAAAAAAAAGTAAAAAGGGGCTGAGTGAGGTGTCTCAGGCCTGTAATCCCAGCACTTTGGGAAGCTAAGGCAGGCATATCCCTTGAGTTTAGGAATTTGAGATGAGCCTGGGAAATGTGGTAAGACCCCATCTCTATTATATAAAATTTTTTTTAAAAAAAGTATTTTTGAAAGGATATTAGGAGGCTTCTTTTTTTTTTTTTTTTTTTTTTTTTTTATTATTTTGAGATGGAGTTTTGCTCTTGTTGTCCAGGCTGGAGTGCAGTGGAGAGATCTTGGCTCACTGCAACCTCCGCCTCCCCAGTTCCAGCAGTTCTCCTGCCTCAGCCTCCTGAGTTGCTGGGATTACAGGCACCTGTCACCACGCCCAGCTAATTTTTTGTATTTTTAGTAGAGACAGGGTTTCTTCATGTTGGCCAGGCTGGTCTCAAACCCCTGACCTCAGATGATCAACCTGCCTCTGCCTCCCAAAGTGCGGGGATTACAGGTGTGAGCCACCGCGCCTGGCTTTTTTTTTTTTTTTTTTTTTGATGGAGTCTCACTCTGTCGCCCCAGGCTGGAGTGCAGTGGCATGACCTCGGCTCACTGCAACTTCTGCCTCCCGGGTTCAAGCAATTCTCCTGCCTCAGCCTCCCAAGTAGCTGGGACTACAGGCACGTCCCACCATGCCTGGGTAATTTTTGTATTTTTAGTAGAGCCGGGGTTTCACCGTGTTAGCCAAGATAGTCTTGATCTCCTGACCTAGTGATCCGCCTGCCTCGGTCTCCCAAAGTGCTGGGATTACAGACATGAGCCACTGCGCCTGGCCTCTCCATTTAGTTCTAATTTGATTTCTGTCATCAGAGTTTTGTAGTTTTCCTCATATATATGTTGTATATATTTTGTCACTGTTATACCTAAGTATTTCTTTTTTGGGGGTGCAAATATAAATGGTTTTGTGTTTCTATTATTTAATTTTTTTGAGACAGTGGCATGATACAAAAATTAGCCGGGCATGGTGGCGTGTGCCTGTAATCCCAGCTACTCAGGAGAATTGCTTGAACCTAGGAGGCAAAGGTTACAGTGAGCCGAGATTGAGCCACGGCACTCCAGACTGGGTGACAAGAACAAAACTCCATTTCAAAAAAAAAAAAATTTTTTTCACAAATTGGATGGGAATATAGCTGCTGGAATGTCCTCATGTACACATAATAGTCACTAGTAATATTTGGAAAAAATTATTAACTTTCTTAATATTCATCTGTTCTTTCTAATAGGTATAACTGTAAGAAATGAATTTTAATGTCTGGAATATCAAAGAGATGCTCAGTATTCCTTCAGGCTCTGGGTAAGTTTTCTGGTTATATTCTCTGATCCTTAAGAGGATTTTCTAGTTTCATTGATTCCATAGAAAAAGTGTTCCTGGCCAGGCGTGGTGGCTCATGTCTGTAAATCCTGCACTTTGGAAGGCCGAGGCAGGTGGATCACCTGAGGTCAGGAGTTCAAGACTAGCTTGGCCAACATGACAAAACCCCGTCTCTACTAAAAAATTACAGAAATTGGCCGGGCGCGGTGGCTCAAGCCTGTAATCCCAGCACTTTGGGAGGCCGAGACGGGCGGATCACGAGGTCAGGAGATCGAGACCATCCTGGCGAACACGGTGAAACCCCGTCTCTACTAAAAATACAAAAAACTAGCCGGGCGAGGTGGCGGGCGCCTGTAGTCCCAGCTACTCCGGAGGCTGAGGCAGGAGAATGGCGTAAACCCGGGAGGCGGAGCTTGCAGTGAGCTGAGATCCGGCCACTGCACTCCAGCCTGGGCGACAGAGCCAGACTCCGTCTCAAAAAAAAAAAAAAAAAAAAAATGAGAAATTAGCGGGGGAGCTGGTGTGCACCTGTAATCCCAGCTACTGGGAGGCTGAGGCAGAATTGCTTGAGGTGGGTTGTGGTAGACCAGATTGCGTAGCCCCTGCCTCTAGCCTGGGCGACAGAGTGAGACTCAATCTCAAAAAAAAAAAAAAAAAAAAAAAAAAAAAAAAAAAAAAAAAAAAAAAAAAAAAAAATTACAGAAATTAGCGGGGGGAGCTGGTGTGCACCTGTAATCCCAGCTACTGGGGAGGCTGAGGCAGAATTGCTTGAGGTGGAGTTTGTGGTAGACCAAGATTGCGCCCCTGCACTCTAGCCTGGGCGACAGAGTGAGACTCAATCTCAAAAAAAAAAAAGAGGGTTCCCTTCCTATTAGGTTATAATAATGGAGGTACCCTATACAGCCTCTTCTTCTCTTCCTCTTCTCTGTCTCTGCTGCATCTTGTGCTTTTTTTTATTCTGTCCATTACAAAAATGGTACCATTCCAGCTCTGTGTGTTGAGTAATGACTTTGTATCCAGCATTGGGCCAGTTAGTGTCAGAGAAGGTCCAACATCTGGACACTCAGCCCAGTTGCAGCAACTGCTACTGAAATAGCAAGGAGCAAAATCGAGACAATGTTCAGATATATGTTCAGTTGTACAGTGCAATTTATAGGTACTGTGGAGATTAAGAGCCACTCTAGGTATTGACAAGGCTCATTGAGGTATTGCCCTTTCAACTACTCCACTAAGGTACTTAACATTGATGTCTACCATCCTGCAATAAGCCTGTCACTGCTAACTTGGTGAGTATGCCTGAGAAGTAGTGTGTATTTAAGGGATTTGTAATTGCTTATGGTATGCTTTATCACCGGATAATTTCTTTCCTCTTTAACACCTTCCTGAAGTTTTATCAATTGATCAGAAACTAGAGCACTGCTCTTTTTTTTTTTTTTTTTTTTAATTTCTGAAAAAGAAAAAAAAAATGCTTACAGTTGGTAGGGAGTAGTGAAAAACTATCTTTACTTCCAGATCATAGTTTTTTTTGTTTGTTTGTTTTTTGAGATGGAGTTTCACTCTTCTTGCCCAGGCTAGAGTGCAATGGTGTGGTCTCAGCTCACTGCAACCTTCGCCTCCTGGGTTAAGCGATTATCTCACCTCAGCCTCCCAAGAAGCTGGGATTACAGGTACCCGCCACCACGCCCAGCTAATTTTTGTATTTTTAGTAGACATGGGGTTTCACCATGTTGGAAAGTCTGGTCTCAAACAACTGACAGGTGATCTGCCCTCCTTGGCCTTCCAAAGTGCTGGGATTACAGGTGTGAGCCACCATGCCCAGCAAATCTTCATTAAGTCCAATTTGTCTGTTGGACTTTTTTGTTTTTGTTGCTGCTTGTCCCTTTGGTATCATATCCAAGATTGCCAAATCCAGTGTCATGAAGCTTTTGCCTTCTGTTTTTTTTTTTCTGAGACAGAGTCTCACTCTGTTGCCCAGGCTGGAGTGTAGTGGCACGACCTCAGCTCATTGCAACCTCTGCCTCCCAGGTTCAAGCAATCCTCCTGCCTCAGTGCCCCCCAGTAGCTGGGATTACAGGCATGTGCCACCCAGCTAATTTTTGTAGTTTTTGTAGAGACGGGATTTCGCTATGTTGGCCAGGCTGGTCTTGGACTCCTGACCTCAGGTGATCCAATGGCATCAGCCTCCCAAAATGCTGGGATTACAGGTGTGAGCCACCGTGCCTGGCCTTCATAGTTTAAAGATATAAATCCTACATAATTTCAGTAGGCTCACAAAACTGTTCCTGGCCTACCAAGCCTAGCTAATTATTGTCTTTGGCCCAAAAGGAAAATCACAGAGAACTATTTTGAGCAATGATTATGTTACCCATATTATATGTTTGTAACCCATTTCTTAGTTTACCTCAAGAAATAGTTCTGTTACCAAAAGACCAGGGGTTCATTCTAGGTCCTGCTGCTCACCACACACAGAGCCAGTCACGAGATGAGGAATATTACCAAGGAAGAAGGCTTTAATTGGCAGCAGAGAAGATGGGAACTTGGTCTCAAATCCCTCTCCCTAACTAAAATTAAGGGTTTATTTAGCAGGGAGGAAATGTAACAATTTGTAAGAAAACAAGAACTAGGGGGGAGCAAGGAGGCATCTGGTGCAGTGATCTGGTGAGTTTCAGTTATTTGATACTTTTTTGAGAGGCCTGAAGGTCCTTTCCTGAGGAAGGAACTCAGAAAAAACATGGGAGTTTCAAGCTTTAACAGGAGAAGGGTCAATTTCTATGTTTATCCAAAAACAACTGTGTATGGGACTGGGGCTGGTTTCATTTCTGAGTAAAAATAATCACCCTTCTCTATCCTGAACTATTAGAGTTTCTTTTTGTTTTAAAAATAGTATGTTTATATCAAAATAGAAACAAGTAGTTTGTATTAATATTATAAAGGTTTCTTTGGCTCAGAATATGTACTTATATGTTATCTAATTGCTTTAAATTTAACATTTGATAAAGGAATGATTCGTGTGTGTGTTTTAATGCAGGAGTCCCTAAACTTTTTGGTAACAGGGACCAGTTTTGAGGAAGACAATTTTTCCACAGACCAGGATATGGAGAAATGATTTTGGGATGATTCAAGTGCATTAAATTTATCATGTACTTTATTTCTATTATTACATTGTAATATATAATGAAATAATTATGATCAGACACAGTGGCTCACACCTGTAATCCCAGCACCTTGGGAGGCCGAGGCAGGCAGATCGCTTGAGGTCAGGAGTTTGAAACCAGCCTGGCCAACATGGCAAAACCTTGTCTTTCCAAAAAATTACAAAAATTCGACGGGTGTGGTGGTGGGCTCCTGTAATCCCAGCTACCCAGGAGGCTGAGGCATGAGAATTGCTTAAATGTAAGGCCTAACACCATAAAAACCCTAAAAGGAAACCTAGGCAATACCATTCAGGACATAGGCATGGGCAAAGACTTCATGACTAAAACAACAAAAGCAATGGCAACAAAAGCCAAAATAGACAAATGGGATCTAACTAAACTAAAGAACTTCTGCACAGCAAAAGAAATTATCATCATGCAGCCCGCGATGCCTGAACTGCTCCCCGCGGTGGGCTCCAGCGCCGCCTGAGCCTCCCCAACAAGCACCGCCCCCTGCTCCGTTGGGCTCAGTCCTGTTGACCGCCCAAGGGCTGACGAGTGCAGGCGCAACTTGGGACTGGCGGGCAGCTCTGCCTGCAGCCCCTTCGCGGGATCCACTAGGTGAAGCCAGCTGGGCTCCTGAATCTAGTGGGGACTTGGAGAACTTTTATGTCTAGCTAAGGCATTGTAAATACATCAATCAACACTCTGTGTGTAGCTCAAGGTTTGTAAATACACCAATCAGCACTCTGTGTCTAGCTCAGGGTTTGTAAATACGCCAATTGGTACTCTGGACGAGTTGATGGGTGCAGCACACCAACATGGCACATGTATACATAAGTAATAAACCTGCACGTTGTGCACATGTACCCTAGAACTTAAAGTATAATATAAAAAGAAGAAAAAAATATACAGCTCACTGTGATGTAGAATTAGTGCGATCCCTGAGCTTGTTTTCCTGAGACTAGATGGTCCCATTTGGGGGTGATGGGAGACAGTGACAGATCATCAGGCATTAGATTCTCATAAGGAGTGCACAACCTAGATCCCTTGCATTGTGCAGTTCACAATAGGGTTTGTGCTCCTGTGAGAATCTAATGCTGGCACTGATCTGACAGAAGGCAGAGCTCAGATAGTAATATTATTGAGACCAGCCTGGGCAACATGACTGTCAGTTCCTGGGGTCTGGGTACAGCCCATGCTGAAGTCCAAGGGGAGTTGGTGGATAAGCAGAAAGAATATTTTGGAGTCTGTAGACAGATGAATATGGTTTTATTCTGCAGCTTTCTGATTAGCAGCTTACTCTCACACTGGCTTTCTTATTAGCAGCTTACTCTCACACTGTCCGCCCTGTCTTGTCTGCTTGAGCTGGCTGCCCCCATGCACAGGTGTGCAGCTGGCTCTCCCTTCCCTTCAGGATCAGCAGCTTAACTCTTTCTCTTGGCACAAGCAAGCTGAGGTGTATCCTGGTTCGCTCCTGTCAGTCTGCAAAGGACAGCTCCGGCTCTCTCTCTTTCTCTGGGCACCAGCATGCCCACCATATCAAGTCATGTTGAGCCGAGCCAAGCCAAACCCCCAAGAGATCCCTGTACAATGTCAGCAGGACAGTTATACCTTTTTTTTTTTTTTTTTTTTGAGACAGTGTCTTGCTCTGTCACCCAGGCTGAAGTGCAGTGGTGTGATCTTGGCTCACTGCAGCCTCCGCCTCCTGGGTTCTAGTTATTATCCTGCCTCAGACTTCCAAGTAGCTGGGACTACAAGCACATGCCACCATGTCTGGCTAATTTTTGTATTTTTAGTAGAGATGGGGTTTCACCATGTTGGCCAGGCTGGTCTCGAACTCCTGAC